TGAAGAGCGTGGAGCATAGGGGAGGGAAGGCTCACCGGCAGCAGGTGTTGCTGGAGTCGTTTCCTTGAAGAATTTCTGCAATCCTCTCTTTAACTTCTGAGCACAGTTCAGGATAATCATCTTCTCAGGCAGATCTACACTAGAGGTTTCCAGACTTTCTGGGTTTGCTTTGTCAGTGACTCAGTTGTATTTTTCGCAGAGCGCCAACTCCAAGAGAAAGAGTTGACAGTTTTGTTTATCACACTGTTAGGCTCCAACTATTTATTAAGTGTTTTATGTTCTAATAACAGAATAGTAGGTTTTTGAAAAAATAATGTTCATGCATTGAAAGAAAACATATTTTTCATCTTTAATCTTTATCTCTTACCATGGAAAGTGTGACCCTGTTGGGAACCGCACAGCTTCTTAAATCTTCAAGTCAGATTAGACCCTGCTATCCTTGTTTCTTCTTCCAAACTGAGAGCTTTTCCCTCAGTGACTGTGAAAATTGAGCTCATAAAAAGTAGACAGTCCTCACAAAAAGGAAGGAGTATCGTGTGAGTTTACACCAGCCGCTAACTTGGGGGAGTAGTTCCATGAGTGGTATCCAGGAGACGCCAGGTATCCAAGTTGTCTTCCTCAGAAAGAAAGGATTATGCAGTACCCCATGAGCTCACCGTGGTATCGCAGGGCGCAGTGGCACCCACTTTGGGAAATGAAGGCCTGTGGACAGACCAGAAGGCTGGGGTGTGGGGGTCATTCATTACCTCCACTGCTGCTCCCCTTGCCCAGTCATCTTGTCTAAGCTAAGTTGGCTTAGCTTCTCACTATACTCGGCCAGTGACATCAGGGCAGGGGTGGACTGTGACCTGCCAGTGCACCTGGGCCCTGATGAGGCTCCAATCGCAGCTGCTGTCCAGGAGGGGCTCTGTCCTGGGCCTGGCCTGAGCCCAGCCCCTGCCCTTCTCCCTGACTGGTTTCAGGAAGTGAGGCGTGGAGGGTGGAGTGAGCTTTGGAAGGACATGGAGGAAGCCAGGAGCACAGGACCATCACCGTAGGGCAGTCTCCGGTGCCATCTGCCTAACATGTCCATGTGCCAGGCGCTGTCCTGACGGTTTTGTAAGAATTAAGCCCTTAAGTCTTCACCCCAACCCTGTGAAGCTGGTCTAATTCTAACTCCACACACACACACACACACACACACACACACACACACACTCCTGGGGAATGAACCCAGGGCTTTCGTGCTGAGCTACATCCCTAGCCCTTTTTGTTTTATTTCATTTTTTTATTTTGACTTACCTAAATCACTGAATTTCCCAGCCTGGGCTCAAACTCGTGGTCCTCCTGCCTCATCCTCCCAGAATCCTGAGATTATGTGTGTGCTGCCATGCCCGGCTAATGTCCTGTTTTACAGATGAGGGGACAAAGGCACGAGGAAGTTCAATATTTGTCCAAGGTTTGCCCAAGTTCTGAAGCAGCGGAGGTGGGATATGAACCCAGGCCATCTGTGCTCTCCCATGTCTGGGTCTTCTTCACTGATTGGGAAACCAGGCTTCCAACCCGTCCCGATGCTGCCTTGTAGCTGTGCACTGCTGCAGAGGAGACAGAGAAACTGAGATTTCACCCCTTCCACTGAGAGGCGGGCACATTAACTCCCCAATGGGGCCACTGGACAGAATACAGAAGACATACCTGTAAAGTACTTTGGATTATACAGCATTCAAGAAAGAACCTGCCTGCCTGTTTCTCTGGCTGGCTGGCTGTCCCAGGCTGGCCTCTTCCCAGTGCTCCCTCTGCAAGATACGCAGGAATCCAGCGGGGGGCAGCACTGGGCCGCAGAAGAACCTTCTCTCCCTCCAAGCCCTAGCTGTTCACACAGGGATCTTGCAGCCTGATGTGTTTCTTGTCCCTTTAAGCAGAACATTTAAGGTGGTTTTGCTGAACAACTAAGCAAAATCACAGCCTGGCAGGGTGAACCCAAGGGAGCGCCGAGAAAGCAGGTTCAGAAGTAACTTTCTGTGGGTGATGGGTCTGCCTCACAGGCCCTCGGGCTGTGCTTGCCCCAGCTGAGGGTTCTCCTGTGCTATTGCTGAGGCAAAAGTGGTGCCTCCAAGATGAGGGCCCCTCCTAATCCCCACTGCCGGGCTGTCCTTTGCCGAATTTTCTAGAACATGTTATTGCTGGTTTGTCTTGACATTTCTCTGGAGCAGAACCACTTAGAAGCTGGCCCCCAGAGATTTCAACAGGGGCGAAATGCCCTTCTTACAAAAATAAATATGGTCTACCTCATGTGTCAGTGGGTGGACCTGGGTTCTGTGGGGTTGGGTTCTGTCCGGTTTTCTGGCATTGGGGGAGAACTCTGACCTGTTCAAATGAAAAGCTACCCCTTTTCCAGAGGACCCCAAGTGGGCACTGCTCCTGACATGTCCCCTGACTGGTGTCTTCACTACAGGCTGCTGCCCATTGAGCTGCCAGCCTGGATCACTGGCCAGGCTGGGTCCTGTGGGATCCTGGGGGCAGCAGAGGCAGCAGCAGGAAGGATGCCCTTCCTTCTATTTCACATCTGCACAATGCCATGATGTCAGCATAGCACCTGGGTAGCCCCAGCTCTACCATGACATTGGGCCACCCTCCCTCTCTTCTATGCCCAAGTGAGGCTAACAGCCCAATCGCTGCAAGGCCTTTTTGGCTCACTGATATCTTTTTCATCATTAATACTAAAAGCTTGGTCCTTTGACCTGTTAAGTATCAATGATCATTTTTATCACTGAGTCTGAAGGAGGTGGATCAGTGCCCATGATACAACTGGGTGATATAGTTAATTTGCATGAAAAGAGGTGTATTACCGTAGGGCTGCTACTGGGCATCAGAAGAGGTGCTGAGAATGTCACTGGTGAGCCAGAAAGGTTCCTTCGGCATTCTTGGTGAATGGTATTCCTATGCCCTGTCCCTCTCTTCTGAGATGGCCAAAGCAGCTTGCTTGTTGGGCTGCTTTCAGCATCCTGTGACCCCAGAGGTGCATCTTCATCCACAGCCTGGTCTGGAGAATATGGTGAGCTGTACAATCTCAGCCCATAGAAAGAACTCCTCAGTCTCCCACAGGTGCTGCTCTTGCCTCCCATACCCCAGCTGCTTTTCAGAGTCCTTCCTGCTTCTCTTTTCCTCCACAGAAGGAGAGGGGCTAAGATGAGACCTGCTCATTAACCCCATCCTGCTGGGGGCAGCCCCCTAATTGTAGCTCATAGCTAGAAGAAAGATGCCTCCATTCCTGACTTTCCTAAGAATCCTCTACACGCACACACACACACACACACACACACACACACACATCCCATTCTCTCTCTGATGATCTTAACCTAGGTCATAACAAACCAGTTACTGTGTTAGTAAGGTGGGCATTGCTCCCCTCCGCAGTCTCAGTTTCGTATGTTAAAATTCATCTTCTAAACAGGAATAACTGCAAGGTCCAGGGTCTCTGGTTGACCGCAGACTGACTGTTCTGAAGCAGTTGAGCTTCTGGATGTCTTCAAATAGGATTTTGCTGCTTGTGCATTAAATCCCCTTCTTCTGATACAGAGCATTCTCATTTACATTCTCTTCCTCAGACATTTCTTGTAAGTCATCCTCGTGTGATCACTTGGGGGTTCTGGGTTCCTGCCTGTGAGTCGAAAAGACCTAGCTTCCTCAGCTGAATATGTGGAACCAATTGATTCCTTGCCTGTAGTTTCTGAAGTTTGGGGATTTTTCCCTGGTCCATGTCAATGAGCTCTGTGAGAGCCAAGATTCTTTTACTACTGGTTCAGTGTTGAATCTTCCATGCTAAAATGAATGCATGGCTCATAGAAGAGCTTGTTAAGTATTGATCAATGGATGAGTATTTCATTGGTTCCACAGTAGGATCATTGATGAGAATTTGGGCTGGGCCAGATTACTCTTGCAAGGAGACCAGGCTGGAGAAGTTACCCACACAATGCTCATGTTCCTTGTAGTGAACCTTCTTTCCTACCCATGTGTATCTGTTAGTTTCTGCCCCAAAGGCTGTTTGGGTTAGAATTGCCCATATATTGATTGTCCCGTTAGATGGCTACCTTCTTAAGCAAGGGGCCACTTCCTTACTGGTTTTTGTTTTTGTTTGTTTGTTTGTTTTTTAATCTCTGGGGCCTAAGGAACTGTCAGTGCTCAGAAGATGTCTAACAAACTGAAATTTAGTTAAATGGATACAGCCTGTGGGTTTTAGTTTCAACTCAGTACGTTTCCGAAAATGACCCCAAATTTTTAGAAAGAATTCCTCTTTCCTTCAGGCAATTAAACCTGTGCCCGGGGCCTGCTATCCCCTCAAGTGCCAAGGACAGGCTTGGGTCCTGAAGAGCTATAACTGCGTTAATGACAATAGATAGTGATTCCAAAATATGGGGGAGAAACTGCAAAACCAAAATTAATAAAATATCTAATTAGCTGTTCTCAAAGCATACTGTTGTGTGGATTCTGGTATTTGCTAAATTTAGTGCTTGTAAACATTTCATTGCATTTAATCAGGATTTGTGGCTTAGATTTTTCTCATTTCACAAGAATCTTGAGTTTGTACAATGAATGCCAGGCAATCTTAGCCAACCATAAACTCAATGAATTACATAAAGCTAAATAGATGTGAAAGAAAAATTATAAAAATCCTTTCAAAATTGCTGATGGTGGAAAAACTAATGGTAGATATGGATGTATTTTAATACTGTAAATTCAGTGTGGAGTGAAGTCCTTTAAAGGAAAGGACATCATGGCCTACAAATATCTGTCTCACAATCCTACATAATTCTGGCATTCTATGTATTACTTCATCAGATTTTCCTAAAATGAGAAATACTTGTTTCCCACTCTATGAATGAATGGATGTTTTTCCTGTAATGTAATTTATAAAAATCAGATGTCTTCACTGATCGATGTCAAATAATCTTTTTGACCTTTGCTGATTTTTGCTCATTGAATGTCTTCTGTTTTCTAATCTGACTTTTCATTTCTTTCAGGAATCCTGTTCACGATGCTGGTTTTTGGACCAGCCTGTGGATTTATTCTGGGCTCTTTCTGTACCAAAATCTATGTGGATGCAGTCTTCATTGACACAAGTAAGGAACAGATGTGAATGTCTACCCATCACCCATAAGCATTTCCTGTATCATAAAGGAAGCCTCAGCATATTGGATTCTAAAATGTACTAAGCAATAGCCTTGTGTTAGCTTCCCATCTCTGTGACAAATATCTGAGAAAATCAGTTTAAAAAGAAATAGCTTGGCATGGCGGTGCATCCCTGTAATCCCAACACTCTAAGAAAGGGCTAAGGTATCATTACAAGCTCAGGACCAGCCTGGGTAACTTCAAGACTTAGCAAGACTCTGTTTCAATAAAAAAGAAAGAAAATGTTTATTTTTGGTTCGTAGTTTCCGAGGTTTCAGTTCATACCAATTGCCCCTGCTCCCTTCAGGCCTATGGCAACACAACACATCATGGTAGGAATGGGAAAATGTGTGGTAGAGCAAAGCTGTTAAGCTCATGGCAGCCAGGAACTGAAGAGATAAAGGTGCCAAGGTCACCATCTCCCCTTCGTGGGCACACCCCCAATGACCTAACTTCCTTCCCATAGGCCACACCTCCTAAAGTCATACTACCTCCCTGTAGTGCCACAGGCTGGGGACCATGTCTTGAAGACATGGGCCTTTAAGGAACATTTGAGATCCAAACTATAGGAAGCATTGGTGCTTCTGCCTCTGTAGCTGGTGGTCCACTTGAGGGTGGACACGAGTGCTGGTTTACTGGCCATGTACTCAATTCCATGTTCTGCCCACTTCTGTCTAGAGGTGCGTAACCCCCAATGCTTGCTTTTGCTCTTCAAATCTATTTTCCCTTCTGTAAATTAAGGATCACAATGATCATATCAGCCTCAGGGCTATTTTTAAGAATTGAGTGAGGAGATAGAAGAGGAAAGTTGGCCTGTGAACATATATGATTCAACCCTACTTTCCAATCCAAAAGTTGGAGCGTGTGTCCTAGAAATGTGAAGTATAAATGTGCAATGGAGATGAGACAAATCATTTGAAAATCCTCTCTATAAATCATTGTCTTTAGGTCCCATTTAAAATTATCTTAAGCAGAACCTGCATGTTCTTAGCAGGAAGAGCAAGTATATTCCCAGATTGCCGTTAGATTGAATAGTGTGCTAATAGTCAGGCAGCCAAGGTTATGCTGTGATGAAAAACATCCCCAAATCTGAGTGATTTTAAACAACCAAAGTTTATTCCTTGGCGGCACTACCTCTCTGATGCACATTGGTGGTGTTGGGGAGGGGGCATGGCCCGGGTTCCAACCCAACCTCAGCTTGCACAGGTGCCATGCCAGGAAGCAGATCTGTGACAGGTTGCACGATCACCCTTGAAACTTGTGCCCAGAAATGACACACATTGTTTTGATTCATGCTGCCTTGCCAAAGTAAGTCATGTGGTATATCACTTCTTTTGCTATGTAACAAGTGACCCCAAGCTTAGTGAGTCAAAACAGCAGACACTGATCATCTCACAGCTTGATCTGTGAGTCTGGAATGTAGGAGCAGCTTGTAGCAGCCCTGGCTCAGGGCTTTCATGAGGCCACAGTCAAGCTATCAGCCTGGTCCGCCGTCATGAAGGCCCAACAGGAACAAGATCCACTTGAAGGCTCATGATGGTGGCATTGGCAGGGCTTGGAAAGTCCACTCCCATCCTTCATGGGGCTGTCTCAGCTGGACTTCCTTGGAGCAAACAACTCAGGTGAGAAGGGGAGAGAGCACCTGAGACAGGAGCCGTTCTATCTTTTTTATAGCTTCATCTCAGTAGAGACCTCTATATGTCTTCTGCATGCACTTTATTAAATAGTCAGTCCCTTGTTGAGGTCCCCTGTCAAGGAGAAGGATTATTACAGAAGGACTTTTTGGTGTGCTATTGGGTATCAAACCCAGGGCTTCTACACTGACCTTCATCCTCAGCACCCCCTTTCATTTATTTTGAGACAAGGTCTTGCTAAATCTCTAAATTGCCCAGGGAAGGCTTGAATTTGTGATCCTCCTGCCTCAGCTTTGGAGAGTTCTGGGATTACAAGCATGCAAAACTACCCCCGGCTTATACAGGGACTTGAATATGTACCAGGGGGCAAGGATCTTCGGGACCATCTGATATGCTGCCTGCCACAGGTAGTCACAATGCTACTGTTGCACTCCTAAAAGAAAACACTGCATCTCTTCATATCCCAGCAAATAGCAAAGCCACCTTTCCTTTCTTTCTGAAAACAAAGGGCAGGAAGCCATTCTAGCTTCTTCTCATGCTGATCTAGTCTCAGGATCAATAAAAACACTCAGTCCCCGGGTTCCTAATCCATCATCTCTAGACAGTGCTAAATTTACTAATTCACCCCAAAGAAATAATGTGGCTTTAAATCCAATCAAGTCGCTTTGTGATTCACTCCATTAATCCCACTGATATATTTACTTGTAGCTAATGATGTTACAAATTTCCAAGTGGCAAATAAAATCAGACGCAGCCTTCCTTATTTATTCTTGTAGAGCAGCGGGTCCGTCCAGGAGGTGATTGGATGGTGTTGTTCTCCGCAGCTGGCAGGCCCTGGTGAGCAGAGTGTGCTGGAGAAGGGAATGGGCCACCATGCTGTCTGTGGAAAACAGCTTCATCGCTGCACCCGAGACAGCACAGGACAGCGGTGCCAAGAGGGATAGAGAGGGGTCAGCTCCCAAGGCCGTGGGGAAGCTGCCCTGAAGGACAAGGGCAGTGGCTGGGCAGTGGATTTTCCCCTCAGCAGATCCGTGTTGACTCCTTGAACCCCGTCTGTGAGTGACCAGGATCTCTGAACCAGAGAGAACCTCAGACCTCATTCTCTTCCACTCTTTCATTTGCCAATGAGGAAACTGAGTCCCAGACAGGGAAGGGAGCTGCCAGCCTGAAGGGTGGGTCTGTATGAAGCTCAGGTCCGGGAGCCCGCATGTAGGGATTTCCACTTCACTAAGCTCTCTCCTGAGAGGGAGGCAGCACCTTTCCTCAGTGCCAAGAACGAGTAGAGGGTAGACAGGTGTCTACTCACTGCCCCCTCGGCCTGCTGACCTGCTTCCTTCTGCCCAGAATGCTGTTCTCCTCCCATTCCCTTCGGGGTCCCTGAGCCCTGAAGTGACCTCTTCCGAGTTCCAGGCTCAGTGACAGTTGGGGGCCTCCCTGCGTGTAGACAGACGGGTATGTTTCCTGTCTGCCTGGGCACATCTCGCTGCTGGCAGCCTTCCCCACTCCCAAGAAGGCATGGACTTCCTGGTCTGTTGCTAGGCAGCACAGGATGCCTTGTGAGTCAGTCTTTACTCCTTCCGGGATATGCTTCAGTGTCAGCCCGCTGGTTACCAGCAGAGGGCAGAAGAATATCATCTATTATATTCAGCCACAGAATTCTCGTTTGCACCAATTTTGTTTCTCATCCTGTGGCTCAAACTTGTCATCCCTGAGTGTACACTGAGGAAGCAGTTCTCCAGTCATTAAGATCTGCCTTCTGTGCCTAACACAGCCTTCTTCGGGGCTGTCCAAATGAAATGCCCCTGTAAGCATGAACACCAGGGACTGTGCATATAGCCACGTTTCTGAAATCCCAGCTGAGAGTGGGAGACCGGGAAAGGCAGTGGCTGAAATTCGTGGGGAGGCAGCAGAGTAGGTCCATAGCAAGCCCTTCCTTTGGAGAAGATGGAGGAAAGAACACTTTCCCCCCACCTTGAAGCCAGGCAGCATTGAAGCCGCACCCGGGGAGAAAGCCTGCTCACACCTGTGGATAGGTTCAGCTGGAGGTGCAGGGAGAGGCTGCAGCAGGAAGGACCAGCTGAGTGAGAGTGGGCACTCACCTGCCCCTCACCTGTCTTCTTAGACACAGGATGCTGCCACTTCCGCCTTTGTTTTGTGTTTGGTCCCCTTTGCTCCTTGTAAGGAGACGAGGTCCCTCCTCTGCGAGCTGGGGAAGCAAAGGTGGCACCTCCAGCATTTCTCTTTCTGAATGTCTTTGTACAGCTGAAACTCAGACAAGAGAAGGACTTTGTGAAAAAGGACTTGGTGGCAGAGTATGCCCCTGTTTGCAGCCTTAACTGTGCTTTTAGTAGAGGGAGAAGATTGGGAGCAGTAGCAGATTAAATTGATCAGATTAAAGCTATAGTAGGCTATAGCTGGGCCCGCAGAACCTTGCTGTGCGAGTGCAGGATCAGCTCTTAAATGAGGCATTTTCATGCAGAGATTAAGGGTTCAGCCGTTGGAAGCAGATATCGGGGAATCCCGACTGCACCCCTTGCCAGCTCTATGATCCCGGGGCCATGATTCCTCATGGACCTGTGTGTGGGTGAAATGGTTAATCACGCAGAACACTTAAGATAGGGCCTGGCATGTAGTAAGCACATGATAAACCTTGGGTATAATGAGGAATTGGAGAGGTTAACTAATTCCCACAGCTGGTAAGAGAAGGAACAAGGATTCAACCCCAGCCCCATCTGACCCTAAAGCTTCCCTCTTGGCTGAGCCCCTGAAACCTGAATTTGGCCAGCAGGCTGCCCCCTTCCACGGACAGAGGCCTTGCTACAGTGGCCTGACCAGCTGCACATCCACTCAGGCTGGCCCTAAGGCTGTAACCAGCTGGCCCTGCAGGCAGCACTATGGTATGCGCCACTGGAGTGAGAGCCTCCTGCTCTACCATTCGGAGGGCTGGTGCCGCTGTCAGGTCCCTCCAGCCTGGGCTCATTAGCCCAAGATCTGGCGTCCTGGGTGGATGTTCCTTGCCCCCTCCACACTCAGCCCCTCACTATCTCTAGTTTCTAATTAGGTTTGTAACTTAATGATGCTCTTGGAAGTCTTGAGTCCCATAGCAAAACTTTGATCAAATAGGTTAAACAAATAGGTAAATGAACTAAAAAACAAAATTGCCCAGAGAGCCATAGCAGCTTTTGCACATTAGAATGACCCAGGAGAAAGAAGCAAATGTCCCCAATTTGGTTCAACTTGCCCTTCTCCCAGTCCCAGGTATCCTCCTTAGTGGATTGGTTGATGAGTTTTAAACTAGTTTATTCCTTTTCCTGGTGATTTTCCTTTTGACCTCGGAAATGAATACAATGCTCAATGAGTCCCACTTGTTCGCTTGCCTACCACAGAGGAAGCAAACAGATGGCAACAGCTCGCTCGGCTGCTCAGCGCAACCAGCAAACCACAGGACCAAACCAAAAGTTAGACGCTAAAGTGGATGGGTTGCAAAAATGGATCTTGTACAAAAGACTTTCTACGTCTGTCAGAACCTAGGCAAAGACAGGCCCACTGTGCCTGGTCCCATGGCAGACAGCCCAGCATGGCGCCCCAGTACGCACCTATCTTTTTCTGCTCTCCTCCCGTTGTCCTCCTAGCAAATTCCCCCCAAAGTGAAAAAGCACATTTCCCAGTGTCTGGAAAGACTAAGGGGTAGACAAGTGGCTGATGCAGCTTCACTTGTCCACTCAGAGGTCCCTGAGGGTGTCATGCGTTGGCTCGGGCTGTCCCCTCAGCCAGAGATCTTGACCCCACTGTATTCAACCTCTTTCCTCGTCCATGTGCCTGGTTTCACCGTTAATTCAATGCATCTAAGTGAATGAGACAGACTGGTGCTTTTTGCTTTTGTTCTGGGCATCCTACTGACACAGCAACATTCACTAAAGGGTTGAAACTACAGTGATGTTTTTAAAATCAAGATATGAACTAGATTAAAAGAAGACAGAAGTAAGAAGGTGGGAACACTATGGGTATAGAGCAGGAATGTATATTTCCTGAGCCTTTTTTAGTAGTCGGGGTGGGCTGCATTGTGCTATAGCAACAAACACCCCAAAATCCTCAGTGGCTTAGACGATAAAAGGTTTATTCCTTGTTCATACTGTACATCCCGTGCAGGTCAGTGGGGGTTATTCTGTTCATTGTGTAACCTGTCAGGGGCCATCTGAAAAGGAAGAAACTTAGAGAGTCACACACCAGCTCATACATACATCACAAAGAAGTGACACAAGACCTCTGCTCACATTTCATGGACAAAACTCACACATAGCCACACTTAACTTCCCAAAGTGAGAAAGATGTAGTCCTCCTTGTCCCCAGAATCCAAATGCTGCCATTGGTGACCTCTACCACACCATTCTTTGCCAGCCCATGTGGAAAACTCTCCCTCAACATCAGTCTTTCTGGAACATTCTATGCTGAGTGTTCATAACTGCCAGCCAAGTGGAGGGAGATTTTCAGAGTAACTAGCCAAAATATCTCATAAAAATACTATTTCTCATAGAGATGGTTAGAGGAAAGAAGTCGCTCAGACTACCTTGGCCTCCCTGGTTCTGAGGCAACATGCTCCAGTGCTAAGGAGTTTCTCCTCAGCTTATCTCTCTTCCTGCCACACTGCTCAGGATCGTTGAAATGGAGGGGGAAAAAAATCAGTACCTTCCCAAGTTGGCCAACTGTGTTTTGCCTGGATCTGCAGAATCCTGCCCTCAGCTCCCCTCCCTGCAGAACCCTTCCCCTGGTCCCACCCGGGTCAGGTGTCCCTAGGTTCCGACCCGGGTGATGCACTCTTCCCTGGCTTTCACTGTCAGCTTCCCGTGGTGCACACATATGTGCCTCTGGGGAGCGAGCTGACACATTTACACAAACAATGCCCGCCTTCCCCACCACGCCCCTCTCCCGGGGATGTTTACTCTCACACACAGCGGAGTCGCTAACTGCCTGTGACTTTCTACACTACTAATTTTGTTCCTCCCAACAAATGCTAGGATTGCTCTCCCTTCCCTGGCTCGCAGCTGCCAGCTCTTCAGTCCTCCTTTGTGGAGCCTGTTGACAATGGAGGGAAAACGTTGAGCTGCCTTCTGCTGGCTTTTGTTTCCATTGACTACTTGGCAGCAGGTAGAGACACAGTAAGTGACGAGTGCAGGTAAACACTCCTGTGTAGCTACCAGAGGCAATTTTACTTCCTTTTCTTATCCCTCGTCTGCATAAAGATGCTTTCAAGATCATGCTGTGTTTTTCCATGCCAGACCCTGTGTTAAAAAAAAAAATCTGTCCATTGAAATTCCCATTGATATATGTAAAATCATAAAAGTAACAAGAGCTGCCATAAATGAAGAACCTACTATGTCAGGGGATTCTTGCTTATCTCTCCTGGCAGCTACTGGAAGGGATGCCACCTTTAGTCTGCAAATGATGACACTAAGGCTCAGGGAGTGATGAGGCTGGGAAATGGCAGAGCTGGAACTCAGCCCCCAGAGTTCTTCTCCAGCATCTGGTCCTTTGCCCTCCATGGTTAGTGCTTCGGTCAGGTCTCCAGGATAGGGGTCTGTGTTCCAAAGCCGACCTGCCACCTGGCAGAAGAGCTGCTCACCTTAGGTCTGTTTCACAAAGCACAAACTCATCATTTCCCAGGGCCTATGGGGAGCACAGCAAATCCAGGTGATCCGGAGCAACAGCTTAGCTGGGAGTGTGGGCCTTGGTGTGCACGTGCCTGTGCTCCGCCTTCAATTCTGAGACCTTGGGCGGAGAACTTGACCTGTTTTTTCGTCTTTGCAAAATAGGGGTCATGAAAGCCCCTACTTTGTAGTGTCCTTAGGAGCATGGAATGGAGCAGCTAAGAACGTGCTTTGCATGTTGCCTGGAGCAGAGGGAAGCCCTCATAAATGATGGTGGCATTATCATTAATGTGGGCTGAAGAATCTTTAGAGAGCATTTCACAAACGGGAAGTGTTCATCTGGTATCTGCAGTCATTCCTCTTCCCGGAGCTGTCCATCCATCTGGTCCAGGCCTGCAGTGCTGTTGCTTTTAACTCGCGCTATTTCCCAGGTCTCCAAGAATCTCCTTCTGGGCTCCAGGAGTATCGTTTATCATCAGAGACATTTCTAAGCAGCTCATCCGGGAATGCTGCTTTGCAGCGCAGCTGTATAGACAGAGAAGGAATTACACCGAGGAGTAAACTGTGTGTTATATTCCCCTGACTTAGGCTGGCAAATCAAAGAAGTAAGGGTACAAGCCAGCAAAACACATGCATAGTGCCTTCAAGCACGTGGTTGGTTGGCTGCAAAACTTTATGAAAACAGGCTGGCGCCAAACCACAGACCACCAACAAGGTTATTAGCTTGAAAACTACCTCTGGACTAGGGCTGCAGCCATATATAACAAGCCACCTCCACCGAGGGCTCAAGCACGTGCCAGGCACTAATCTGGTTCACGTGATCTTCTCAGTGACTATAACGTAAGCGCTGTCCTCCTTGTCTGTGTGGTATGGATCAGTAGCTGGAGGCATCAGTAGCTCAAAACACTGACCTAAAGTCCTAGGCAGCCTGGGTGTTGTATCAGGTCCCGCTTCATGTTCTTGACCTCCATTCTGTACCTGTCCTTTTAAACAGTGAGCCTGATTTAAGACAGAGTGAGTGTTGAATGGGATTTCAGATTAGCTTCTCTGGGGGAGATGAGAGTGACTGTACCTAGTAAAAAAAAAATCTACCCTTGAACAATAAATGTTTCCTTGTGTTTTCATGAGCACACCTTGGCAGCATTGCTAAGCCAGCCAATTCTAGCCTAAATTCAGAGGCTGTCTGGTTTCACACTGTTTTTGTGTAGACTGATATAAACCCAGGGTAGACAGGGAAATTAAAGCAGGAACGTGATCAGTCTGCAGCATTGGGGGAAACAGGAGCACTGATGTAGAACGGAGAGGTTTCCTAGCCTGATGGCCGGTCCTCCCACCCCAGTCCATTCCTGGAGCCCTTGGATTCTCATGCAGCAGATTCAAGTCCTCAGCAAATCCCACAGCCCACCTGTCCTGTGTCTGATCCCACTGAGGTGTGCTCTTTCCCTCTGCAGGTAACCTGGACATCACTCCGGACGACCCCCGCTGGATCGGAGCCTGGTGGGGCGGCTTTCTGCTCTGCGGTGCCTTACTCTTCTTCTCCTCCCTCTTGATGTTCGGGTTCCCACAGTCCCTGCCTCCACACACAGACCCCGCCATGGAGAGCGAGCAGGCCATGCTCCCTGAAAGAGAGTATGAGAGGCCCAAGCCCAGCAACGGCGTCCTGCGGCACCCCCTGGAGCCAGACAGCAGTGCCTCCTGCTTCCAGCAGCTGAGAGGTAAAGACCACCTGGTCTGCTGGTGGTCAGGAAAACGGGGCGTGGGGAGGGGAGCGGGTGCAAGGAAGGGAGGCACTCGGGACTAGGCGCCAGAGGACTTGAGTTGAGGCAGAAGCAGAATGGCCCCCGCCAGCAGTGCTCTTAACCAACGACCACAATTGCTTAAAAAAAAAAAATGCAGCCAGGTTTTATTGATGGTATCCCAGTGGTTTGTAGAGGACCTAATGTATAATAAATGCAAACGTCCGTAGACAGAACAGCACAAAAAGGAAAGGGGCGACTCTAACCCATCCGAGAAGTCTCTTGAACTCTGTTAGGCCACTTCTGAGCATCTTGAAGCCACAAAGGACTCCTGGGGTTGGCTCCCTCTCTCTGGTGCAAGCCATCTTTGAAGAACCACCTCCAGAGTACATTTCCTTGCGTTCACTTTGTCCTTCTTCCACTGACGATGAAAGATGTTTTCCTCCCTCTGGGAAGAAATGCGAACCCCTCTTAATAACAGTGCCCTGAAGAATGAGACCACACCCTCACTATCCTTGTTTTAAAGAAACTGATTCTGGGGCTGGGGTATAGCTCAGTGGCGAAGCACCTGCCTGGCAAGCACGAGGTCCTGAGTTTGGTCCCCTGCCCCTCCCACCCAAAAAAACAAACCTTATTGAGCTTTTCTGATCGAATTGTGAGTCACAAATGGTGATGCAGAATGAAAAGGCCCCCGTGACCACCACCACCAGCTGTGTCCATCTCCAGCACTATCCCTTCAAGGTGAGGAAAATGACAGCGTAGCCCGATGTGGCTCGAAACCCCGAAAGCTGCTCAGTCCCAGCTGCCCCTTGGCGAGCTGCGTGTGATGTCCCCTCCTGCACACGACTGTGCTGTAGACTGGACTTTGCCAATGAGCACTTGGTCACAGACGGGAGCAAGGCTGGGGGGCCTCTTTCCAGGCAGCGGGACGGAGCAAAGGTGGGCACCGAGTACTCACCGGACGGCTGTCAGCCCTGCAGACCTAGCCTTCCCCGGGCTCCCTGTAGATCTAACACCAACAGATTCTTTGCTGAGCACCTGTAGAAGGAGAGGCAGCCGCTATGCATGCTCCAGGATTGTGCTCGAGGATCACAGCAAGAACCCAGACTGCTGTTTTACTCTCTGCCAGCTCTGCCAGCTCTCCCCTCTCCCAGTGTCATCTCCACACATGTAAAATTGTCACACACTTCTGTCCTGACAGCGCTGTACTGGGAACAAAAGCACTGCCAGCTGAAGACTGTTAATCATACCTGTGAGTCCGGGAGGAACTGAAAGAACTGGAGCTATTTCTGAAAAGACACTAATTGAATAATCTAATGTCATGTCTGACCCATGTTCCTCATGGGTTTCTACCAATGCTGTGATTTGGAATTGTCCATAGAAGGCCTTCAAGTTCATTCCCTGGAGTCCCAGGATGCATCCCAGGATGAGAAAGCCACCCAGTCCATGTCCTGTGAGCTTGCCACCCTCTTCCTAAGTGCTTAACAAAAGAGGCTGCCAAAACAGGATCACTCTGGGAGCCCAAGCCAGCTGGAGAGAGAGGTCTAGCACTTCTCCCATGGTACCAGGGGCCGTGGACGCTGTGCTAGTAACCAGGCGCACTGGGATGAATAAGCTGACATGAGAGTGGTGTGGCAGAGGGCAGCCTGGCCCTGGTGACAGCAGCCTTTCCGGACTCTCCTGGCGTGATGGCCCTGTCTTAAAAGAGGTCCACAATAATCCCTCATCACCTCTGGGCTTGCACAGATGCAGAAGATGTAGCTGGGCCATCGAAGGACTCACCGTCCAGTGGGGGACCCCACGGCCAGCCAGCTAGGACAGCACAGGTGGTGGAGCCACAGTGAGCAGTCCCTAGGAGGTGACGGAGAGGCAGAGCACAGGCAGGGAAGGCTACGCTCCCTGGATGGTGAGAGGGTCAGAGATGGGGCTACCATGGCTTCAGGATGCTTGAGTTACCGTCCAGCTGCTCATTTCTTATTGGTTCCATTCAGTCAATATTTACGAGACCCAGGGGCGGGGGACACAGCTGTGACCAAGTGGCTTATATTTGGAGCTTATGTTTCAGTAGGGGAGGACATGATAGATGAGGTCAGAGGCACTGCGGGCCTCCGCTTGAGCTGGCAAGTGCACAGTTGGGTAGATGGGTCTGGAACTCACAAATCATGACCCATGTACTCTTCTGCACGTCTGATGATTAATGATTTTGCATTTAGGATTAGCAACTCTCAGAGGTAGTTGATCCACTAATGGCCTAGACAGTATCCCAGCAGGAGAGGGAGGCTGCATCTCCAGAAGATTCCCCCAGAGCCAGAGCACAACGACGTGAGCACTTACACTAATCAACAAACCCTACACAGGCCAGCACATGGGGAGGGGCTGTGTGCTCACATCCTTTATTGACAGGAGTGTCTTTGTCATGTGACCGTGCAATGCTACCTGGTGTTCCCAAAACAACTTCATCTAATTTGCATCCCCACCTCACACTATGCAATTATGGTACAAATAAGCATCCGTGTCACACATCAGAGGAATTAAACGGCTCTCAAAAGCTGTATGCCGCTATTCCACATGCGTACTGCTTGAGCTTGCAAAAGAGTTTCTTCTGCCATCAATCTGTGTCCCTGTCACGCTCTACAGGCCCCAGAGCAGAGCAGTAGAGAGTAGCCTCTCACCTCCCTCACCAGGAGCACCACAGGACAGCGTGCCTAGAGTTCAAATCCAGCCACCTGGGTTCAAATCCGTCTGCTGCCCACCTGTGAACCTTGGCCGTGTCCCTTAGCTCCACTCAGTGTTAATACACGGGGGCTGGTTTAAACTTTACAGCAGCTGCGTGAGGTTGCTGGTTGTGCTCGTTCCCACTTACAGAGAAAATGGCACCATGGCGGCTGGACATTTGGATCTGCCGCACTCCCCCCATGCACCAGGCCTGAAGGTCTGCTTGCAGTACAGTTGGTCATCAGTTGAGTTTGCAACCCTTAGCGGAGTCTTGTTCCAGAACAGCCGGGGAGTCCCCAGCTTGTAGCAACTGTACTGTAGGCATTTTACAAAGCAGGCAGCAGATAAACAAATGCCTGGATTTATTAAACTCCAGCGTTTCCCTCGGCGGGAGCCTGCCAGTCAAGGCAGTTTTGCATCTCAGCCACGTAACTTCCTTCAAGCCCCAGCTGAGGCCCCTCCTGATCTTGCTGTTCAGATAACTTAGCTCTCAGGCTCCCCCTTAGCCCCATCACTGTCCTCTGTGTCTAGCGCTGTCCTATCCCCACCTGCCCTGCAGAACCTAGGAGATGCTTGGCATTGGTAGAATGGTGAGGGAGCGTGATAGACAAATAGACAATATACTCATGTTCTAACGTGCTGAATCTCATGCCCGCAGTTTTATGTTTCATTGTCAGTCATCCCTGGTGTCACTTGCACTAGGAAACTGGATGGGCAGGACCTGAGTTCCCTCTGCAGTGTCCCTTTCCCTGCACCCGCAAGCTCCCTGCAGTCCTCAGAACATGTTAGGAATGCCCCACTTTGCTGTCATTTCTCCCTAGGATCCACTTCCCCCCTGGGCTCCTCCCCAGGCAGCCCCATTACGGCCCCTCTGCGTACATCTCCCAGTGTCCCTGTGTAAGATTAGCTGGGTTCTAACTGACTTTCCAGCAGAATATACCAAAACTCTGACTGCTGCCTGCAAGGGCCCAGATGTACCCCGAACAGTGTGTCTTCAGATAAGGCAACAGCTGGTGGGGGGAGAACCAACTCCCTGCCCACACTGCCATTCCTGACCTTCCGGTGGGTTTTCTAGCTGGGGCAAATGCAATAGCAGCAGAGGTTTAAACCCCACAGGGCAAGCCCTGCCTTTGACTGCAGAGACACAGGGCAGTCAGTGGTTGGAAGATGAGCGCTCTCGTCCCTGAGCCCTGACAGCTGAATGCCAAGTCCAAGTCACCTCTCATTCCCCAGAGAAGGTAGCAGAGCCAGGTGACTGCTGAGCAGGCTGGGTCCTGGGGCTGAGTTTTGAAAAGTGCGCCCAAGTCTGGGAGATGCTTTGTGATTTCCAGAACACTCACATGCCCTCCCACTCTGCCCGCCCCTGCAGCTCCAGGGGCGGGTGTTATTGCCCTTCTCTGCCCCCGAGCAGGACACAGGGGCTGGGCACACCCAGCTTCCCACACTTGGGAATGGTCTCAGTCTTCAAACTCCAAATCCAGTGCTCTTTCTGCTGTTCCCCACAAGATCCACTGCACTGTTAATGAAACGACTGAGGAAAGACAATCAGCCTGGGGCCCACATATCAAAGCCCTCACTGTGTCTGATCGCTTTCTGCTCCATTTGCTTTTGGAATGCAGCACCCCCAGCTCTAGGGAGCCTCACTTTTACAGGCATTGAAATCTGCCTGGGCCCTCTGTACCCCCCATCCCTCCCCAGCACCCATCCTCAGTTCACCTGACTTCATCCCCTGAATCCCTCTGCAGCCTGTGCCTGCTCCTGCTCCCTCCTGTGCTGCAGGCTGCCCAAGCTCCTCACTCCCAGATCTTGGGACAGGAGTCTAGGGGCCTCCAGCTACTGCTCACACGGCCCCCGTCCTGGCTCCCTCCACACCAGCCTCCCCAGCCCCTGCCCAGCCCTTGTCCCGGGCTCCCCTCCTCCCGGGACTCTGCTCAGCTCTGCTCCATAAGCTCTGCTGGGGCAGGGAATTGATCCTTGATCTGCTTTTGCTCAGATCCTGGTGCAGAGCAGGCACTAAATCCCTGCTATTTGCTACGTGCAGAATAAACAGATAGGTGGCCACACATCTCCAAGCCCAATGCGGTTTTCTGCTTTCCTCAAAGCCCCCTCTCTGCTCCCCAAGTACATGGTCAGGGAGGATCCGCTCCCACATTCCTGGCTGCTGGATTGCAGAGGATCTGCTGGACCAGTTGCTGAGGCCTACTTGGTGGACTTGGTGGTGTCACTTGCTGTCTTCTGGCAGTGTGTGCCTTCCTGGCAGGGGG